TCGATATTCGACCTCATAAACACCATCAAGTTTGGTGTATTTGACGTCGATATTCGACGTCATAAACACTATCAAGTTTGGTGTATTTGACGTCGATATTCGACGTCATAAACACCATCAAGTTTGGTGTTTATAACGTCGATATTCGACGTCATAAACACCATCAAGTTTGGTGTTTATGACGTCGATATTCGACGTCATAAACACCATCAAGTTTGGTGTTTATGACGTCGATATTCGACATCATAAACACCATCAAGTTTGGTGTTTATGACGTCGATATTCGACGTCATAAACACCATCAAGTTTGGTGTTTATAACGTCGATATTCGACGTCATAAACACCATCAAGTTTGGTGTTTATGACGTCGATATTCGACGTCATAAACACCATCAAGTTTGGTGTTTATGACGTCGATATTCGACGTCATAAACACCATCAAGTTTGGTGTTTATGACGTCGATATTCGACGTCAGAAACACCATCAAGTTTGGTGTTTATGACGTCGATATTCGACGTCATAAACACCATCAAGTTTGGTGTATTTGACGTCGATATTCGACGTCATAAACACCATCAAGTTTGGTGTTTATGACGTCGATATTCGACCTCATAAACACCATCAAGTTTGGTGTATTTGACGTCGATATTCGACGTCATAAACACCATCAAGTTTGGTGTTTATGACGTCGATATTCGACGTCATAAACAGCATCAAGTTTGGTGTTTATGACGTCGATATTCGACGTCATAAACACCATCAAGTTTGGTGTTTATGACGTCGATATTCGACGTCATAAACACCATCAAGTTTGGTGTTTATGACGTCGATATTCGACGTCATAAACACCATCAAGTTTGGTGTTTATGACGTCGATATTCGACGTCATAAACACCATCAAGTTTGGTGTTTATGACGTCGATATTCGACGTCATAAACACCATCAAGTTTGGTGTTTATGACGTCGATATTCGACGTCATAAACACCATCAAGTTTGGTGTTTATGACGTCGATATTCGACGTCATAAACATCCAAGAGTTGAATGTTTATGACGTCGAATATCGACGTCATAAACATCCAAGAGTTGAATGTTTATGATGTCGAATATCGACGTCATAAACATCCAAGAGTTGAATGTTTATGACGGCGAATATCGACGTCACAAATATCCAAGAGTTGAATGTTTATGACGTCGAATATCGACGTCATAAACATCCAAGAGTTGAATGTTTATGACGTCGAATATCGACGTCATAAACATCCAAGAGTTGAATGTTTATGACGTCGAATATCGACGTCATAAACATCCAAGAGTTGAATGTTTATGCCGAAGATGTGGTTTTCGTAGTTAAAACAATACGAATATTATTTATAGTTAGCGTTATGTTTTTATTAGAGAATATTGAATATTCCAATCCCTTTTCAGTCATTAAACACAAATCGATTTGACGAAAATAGAAATCTTTTACATTAATTACGTTTGCGCATTGAAGAGAATTATGTTGTAAAAAGACGCTCAAAAACCGACTTTGAACCCCAGATGAAATGGAGTCCAGGAACATGGAAAACTAAGAAATATTGATGCAAAAACATTTGAGATATGCTGTTTCCGTTTGCGAATCATCGTGGAACAGAAACGTGGCGGAAACAAAATTTGCTTTCCGATGAGCAAAAATATGTTTCCTAAACTTGCAGTCTTCGCTGGGACTTTGGATGCGTTTTCTTCCTCGGTAGGATGTGAATGAGCTACGGCTGTGAACGAGTTATACGGATGTTTAGACGAGAGTACATACAGCTATTTCAATTAAGGTTGTCCACGAGCAAAGCGGAAAAGTCGAATACGAGCACGAAAGGCTGTTGGGAATCGCATTTGAAGATTCATTAATTTGTTAGCGATTCCCAGCAGCCTTTTGCGCTGGTATTCGACTTTTCCGCTTTGCTCGTGGACAACCTTAAGGTTACAGGATACCCTTTTTGGCGTTTTGCGGAAAATCGCTACTACGCGCTCAATATCAGTCCGATTTTCACCAAATTTTCACCAAATGTTCTCCAGTGCATGCAAAATATGGTAAAGTTGTAAAATTAACAAACAATAGAATAATGTAAGAATTATTCAGGAAAATCTTAAATCGCGGTACCTTTACGCTTTTGAGTTGTGCTCCTGCTGGTTTTAAGTTATATTTATGAAAATATCATTTTTACACAGTAAAATAGTTGTTCTAAAAAACTGTGTTCGGAAATTTTTGTTTATTTCGTCATTCCGCTGATATGGCGATTTCTTTGACGACTGCAATATATTTCTGAATTGTTTGAGTGAATTGCTCTTTATTTTTAAAATATCCAAAATTAAAAAAAAGCCGACCAGAATGTTGAAACTGACGTATTTAGCTATGTCCTGTTAAAATTTGAGAAAAATTGGTTAAAACCCGCAGGAGCACAACTCGTTTGAAAATCAGTAATTACCGTAAAATATTTCGGGAGAAAATTGAATTTGAATATTACATTTTCAATGTTTTTCTTATTGCAGCGAAATGTATTTTACTAAATAACTCTGCGAGTTTTCAACATTTTTCGTTCAAACTTGGTCAGATAGTAGAACTAGTCTAATGCTTTCATTGAAACCAATAAAAAAATTTTAGGCAAAATTAACACTCAAAGGTGTTCTGTAACCTTAATTGAAATAGCTGTATACACTCAGACCTTTCATAACTTATCTACTCGTTCACAAGCGACAGAAGGGAAAAATCACAGCAAAAGTTACAAATGTAGATAGGGCCCTCATAAACTCTGAGCTATATGTTGTGTTTCGCAGTCGCAATTTTTGTCGCGAAAACAATGTTTCCGGCTTTGCCCAGCTTTGGGAAACACGGTTGGGACCAATATTTTTGCAACAAAATTTTTTAGTTTGTGCCGGGGGCTTTGGTATTGTACAGCATTGTTACACATGCTACAAAAGCCTTTTGCAAACACATCTCCTTGAGAAGCAGCAAAAGACTACGCCCGAACCCACAGACAAGCGATCAGGCTACAACAGTATTTTCAAAGTCAGTATTTCGCGCTTTCTATACGAAATGTGTAACGTACAAACATTTGTCTAATTATCATTATCACGAAAGTGCATTAAGAAAGTAACCTTTCGTCCTGTTACCAGTTTCGAGATTTTAACCCGATTCACGAAAGGTGCAGTATCATTAAATACACATTAATTTCGCTAGAGGTTTCAGTAAGATGTAAAAAATTCCCGACACCTCTAGTGACTATAGATTTAACCTAGAATTCTAAATTTTGAACCGTACAGTCTGTACAAATTATTTAGCAGTTACATTTGTCTTGAGATTCCTTCTGATCCGTCGCGATAGCATTTGGGGCTCGTCCAGCAAGTGGTTTGTGTTGAACGCCAGACTCGGCTGCGTTTAAGTCCAAACTGAAAATATGATCGAAAATTTGTTAATAAACTAAGTTGGCTTCATTTATACAAAATAGCACTATCAGTTCTAAACTGTTCCCCTGGAGATTCAGCTAGGATCATGTCTTATTGATCCAGTGTTACTACAGGACGAAACCTAAACTAAACTAACTTTATTTATACTGGATAGCTCTATCAGTTCTAAAATGTTCTCTCCCTAGAGGTCCAGTAAAGTGATCTCCAAGTGATTCAGTGTTACTACAGGACGAAACCTAAACTAAACTAACTTTATTTATGATGGGTAGCTCTATCAGTTCTAAACTGTTCTTCCTAGAGGTCCAGTAAGGATCATCTCTTATTGATCCAGTGTTACTACAGGAGGAAACCTAAACTAAACTAAGTTTATTTATACTGGATAGCTGTATCAGTTCTAAACTGTTCCCCTGGAGATTCAGCTAGGGTGATCTCTATTGGTCCAGTATTAGTGCAGGAAAAAAACTAAATTAAATTCTAACTTCTCAGCTCTATAAGTTCTAAAATGTTCTCCCTAAAATGTTCTCCCTCGATGAGCTTCATAGCTCTTGGGAAAACGCCATTTAATAAATATATACGTTTATATAAAAAAAAGTAAAGATCCTCTCCAAGTAATCGAGTATTATTACAGGAGGAAATCTATATTAAATTAACTTTATTTATACTGGATAGCTCTATCTGCTATCAGTTCTAAAATGTTCTCCCTAGAGGTCCAGTAAAAGTGATCTTCAAGTGATTCAGTGTTACTACAGGACGAAACCTAAACTAAACTAACTTTATTTATGACGGGTACCTCTATCAGTTCTAAACTGTTCTTCCTAGAGGTCCAGTAAGGATCATGTCTTGTTGATCCAGTGTTACTACAAGAGGGGACCTCTACCAGTTCTAAACTGTTCCCCTGGAGATTCAGCTAGAGCCATCTCTTATTGATCCAGTATTAGTGCAGAAACTAAATTCTAACTTCTCAGCTCTATCAATTCTAAAATGTTCTCCCTAGAGGTCCAGTAAAGATCATCTCCAAGTAATTGAGTATTATTACAGGAGGAACCTTATACTAAACTAACTTTATTTATGCTGAGTAGCTCTATCAGTTTATCAGTTCTAAACTGTTCTTCGTAGACGTCCAGTAAAAGACATCTCATATTGATCCAGTGTTACTACAGGAGGAAACCTAAACTAACTTTATTTATTCTGGGTAGCTCTATCAGTTCTAAACTGTTCTTGGTAAAGGTTCAGTAGGAGACATCTCATATTGATCCGGTGTTACTGCAGGAGGAGAATTGAAACCAGCAAGACACAAGGAAACGTAAGAAGATCAAAGCCAAGCATATTGAACCTTCCATCTTGAATATTCTGATAAATCTTTTTAGCTGTTTCCAGGAAAGCTTCTTCAACATTTTCTCCCCTAAATTAGTTACTATTATGAATTTAAAATGCAAAAAAAAACTACACAGTACATTATCACTTATATAAATGTATATATCACAACACTCCACAGTTAAATCAGGGCGCGAAATAACGGCTGGAGGGTCGGCGGTCAAGGTGACCGGCCAACTCAATTTTAGCTCGGACATACCGAATTTCTGGTCGGTCAAATTATTCAGCTTAAAGCAAAGCCTAGTAAAGTATACTCCTAAAAATGTGACCATTTTCCCAGTATAGCAGTACAAAAAGCCTTGCTGTAATCACTGATTAAAAATTTCCTTCACATAAAACAGCTTGTACTGGGCTAAAAGCATGGTCTTAGCTCTTAAGCCAAAGGCATGGCCATGGCCCATGAGCTTGGTGACGTACTGCGTGCGAAAACTGGTGTACATTGAAGTTGTTTTCCTGCAAAATATTCGACAACATGCATGTTATGGTTCTTAATTATAATACTGTACTTGACCACTTTATTTTGATTATTATTATAAAATGAAGATTAGTTTGTTCTTTTACCGAAAGTGACCGGTCAAAATGACCGGCAAGGTAAGAATTTGACTGGACAACTTCGCATTCTGGCCGGACATTGTCCGTTGACCGACCGTTATTTCGCGCCCTGCAGTAGCGTAGCTAGCCCAACGATTTACCAGGATTGGTAGGTTTGCTGAATAATTAGGCCAAACACCGTCACACTAGGCCTTTGTTTTCTTTGTCTTGGCCTTTTGTTTTCTTTGCTTTCTAAACGGCACTAATGACGATTTGGCCTAATTATTCATCTAACTTACCAACCCTGATTTAGTCCCGCTATGCAAATACTTTCGTGTTCATTGACTGTGCAAACAATCAATTTCTAAAGAAATGAACAATGAGAATAATTTTGAATTTGCATAGCTGAACTAAATTCTCGGGCTGGCTACGCCACTGACACTCCATGACATATCACAAACTCATCATAGAGGAGGGGGAATACACATAGTTGTAGTACAAGTAGGCTAGGTGGGTGGGGTGGAGGGGAGCAAGCAGTCAATAAGGGTGAAACAACAGCACTACCATAAATTTCCTTTAATTAATAAATATATGTAAAAGCTTACGTTTTGGCACTAGCTTCACAATATAACAATCCTGTGAAAATTTAATAAAAAGTATAAAGGTTATGGTTGAAACACCACAAAGGACTGAGAGATTTTTTTGAAAGCTTTAAGAAATTTATTTGTCATTATATAGAACTATATTGTTTGGGAACATTAAATACCATTTTCCTCTGCAAATTGTTTTGCTTCGTCATAAGTAACATCCCTTTGAGCATCTAAGTCAGATTTATTGCCAATCAAAAATATAACCTGACAAATGGAAGAAAATGACAAACACTATTAGCCCAACATGTGTACAACAACTGTCAGCTCAAGTTAAAGACAGATAGAATTATCTAGTATAAATACAATTTCTACCATTGCCAAAACTTACTGTGTTAGGATTGGTTAAATTTCTAGCATCTGTAAGCCAACTACTTAGATGATTGTAGGTACTCCTCCTGGAAGTTGAAAATAACAAGTCATGATTGCCTTTGATGGCATAGGAATAGACAACTTGCATGTTAAGCCCGCCGCACACGAGAGCAACTTGGTGAGCTAGCCGCCTCGCGAGGCGGTTAGCTCAGCAAGTTGCTCTCGTGTGCGGATAGTTTTCGTGAGGATTTGACCTCTCGAGGCCTTGAGGAAAATATCTATCGTGTTTGATATTTTTCACCTCGCGAGGAAAAAATCTCAGCGTCTGCGGATGTTGTGAACTAAGTGCTGAGCTGTTTGAATTAATTAGCCAATGACAAACCATGGTTTGTTCATGTGACTTGGAACAAAATGGAGGAAAATGCAAATGATTTTGTCATTTATATTGTTGCTGAGCAGTATGGTGTCCTAGGAGAGACATCAACATTTTTGTTTCATTTTTAAATTTATTTGCATTCAAATTACATTTAATGTATTTTTATTTTTAAAATTTATCTTTTTCTTGTTTCTATTTTGTTTTAAATTATTTTAAAACGTTTCAACTCAGTTGGTTTTAATTTAAAAATTAATGATGTCTCTTCTCGGACATGACGATTTAAAAAAAAAATCCTCATGTCCGAGAAGAGACATTAAATCACAGATTAAGTATGACCAGATGTGAAACTTAATAGGACTTCGTCACAGAATAAAGACATACGGAAGGTCGACTCGAGTAACCGCTGCCACGCCATGATTCGTCATGAAAAAAATGTTGACGGTCCTAGCCAGTGCGCTTATGAGAAGCATCCCCCTGGATGTCCGCCATTCTGAATATTATCAGGGGGATGAATGCCTCTCAAACGCGGACTGTTTAGGACCATGGCGTCAGCATTTTGATGACGAATTACGGTTACGCCAAAATCGTTGGAAAATCATAGGAAAAGCCAAAAAGTTGGGCAACTGTGTAGCCTATATCTGTGACTTCGTATCCTCAAATTTCCCTAGATGTACATACACGTCATGCTCACGCCATCACACTTGCTAGCAAAATGGCGTCCTGAAAAACACGAACTTTTAATTTTTTTGCACTTTATTGCGGCCTTTTTGGATCGAAATTTTTTTTATTAAACATTGATATGTTAAATGTTTAAAGTTGTTGAAAGCAATTAAAGTTGTTGAAAAGGTGTTGAAAGCATTTTTGAAAGCAAGACGTATTACCAAATGACGAATTATCACGCGAGCGACACTTGATAGGAAGATGGCGACCGTGGGACAACTTTTTTACTGAAGTTACACATTTGTTCTTAATCTGTGATTATATCTATATAGCTCAGTGCATTAACGTGATTTAGCGCTGTCCAGGATTGTCAAATTAGGCGCATAATTACAATACTACACGCGTAAAAATCATCATGTTGATGCAAGTTGTTCAAAACAGGAGCGAACAATGTTGTGCTGCACCCCGTGAACAATATTGTTAACAAGTTGTTCAACCATCAACATTGTTGCAACTTGTTGACAATCATGTTAACAACTTGCAACAGTACTGATGGTTGAACAACTTGTTAACAATATTGTTCACGGGGTGCAGCACAACATTGTTCACTCCTGTTTGAACAACGCCGAACAACCTGATCAATTTTTACCCGTGTAGACTTGCATCCAAATCATCCTACTCTGATTCCCAAAACAAGAACAAATTATGGAATTTTCAACATAAGATATCAAGGAGCAAAAATATGGAACTCTCTTGATGAAACAAAAAAAGTTCTATCTCTTTCCTCATTAAAAAAGAATTTAAAAGCTAATTTTATCAATGATTATTGATAAAGTATTACTGAAGCTTACTGCCAAAATGGCGCTTACTGCCAAAATGCGTGATTGCTCACGTTTCATGGCGTGGATTACACTTACTGCCAAAATGGCGGCCAGTAGGCTTCTACAGATTATGCTACGAAAATGCTGAAATTGTGCTCTAAAAATGCTCAAAAGTTGCTTGAAAATCGAATAAGTTGCTCAAAAGTTGCTCGAAATTTGAATAATTGTTCAAAAGTTGCTCGAAAATTGAAAAAAAGTTGCTCGTAAAATGTCAAGCGTTTCTCGTAACGAACAAGACATACATGACGCTTCTCCCAGCATTAGTATTTCACCGCCTTTTCTTCATCATAAATATTGTGGGGTCATAAACAAATCGCTTTTAATTGTTTTCAAGCGAAAATAACATTCAATTTTGTGTATGATATACTGAAATACTATTGAATTCAATTAACATTCCTATTCTAGTCTTATTCTGTGGTAGCAGGTCGCGAAAATGAGATAACTATTTCTCAGCATTTTTCAGTAAACCTTTCTTCGGTTTGGAACATACTGCAGCTATGAATAATCAACAGACTCTATTTCTCAAATGTATTTATAATAGTGTATTACTATTAGGCACATGAACTTTCGTGATACTTTCAAACTGCACCATTGTTGGGTTTGATAAACAGTCATAAACTGAATTTGCGAACTGGTCTGAGTCGCCAGCAATTAGCAAATTAATGTAACTTGCAGTTATGGAGGTTGTTATGGATGTTTGCAAATATGTCAAGCTGCTGATTGCCATAGGATCTCCCAAACTGTAGAAGTAATGGTAAGCAAAATGTTTGTCAAATGGCCAAGGATAAGGAAAATATTTTGGAGCCTTGTGGCGCTATTTTTTCATATGACCAAGAAAACGAGCTTGAATATGGATCAAGGGATTTAAGGCTATCAAGCATTTCTTTATCTTTCTATAAATAAAATTAGCAACAAGGTCTATATTGCCAGAAATTTCCAAAAATTATGCATTTCCTGGAGGAAGTTGCTGATATCATAAAAAGTTGTTTCAAATGCAAAAAGTTGCCAAAAAGTTGCCGAGCATAATCTGTAGAAGCCTAGCGGCCAACGCGTGCTCATAAAAAACCGCGGACACAATTTTGGCTGAGTGATTCATCTGGTATTATCTATCATCTGTGATCTAGGGAAATTTGAGGACACGAAGTCACAGATATAGGCTACACAGTTGCCCAACTTTTGGTTTTCCTATGATTTTCCAACGATTTTGGCGTAACCGTAATTCGTCATTAAAATACTGACGCCATGGTCCTAACCAGTGCGCGTTTGAGAGGCATTCACCCCCTGATAATATTCAGAATGGTGGACATCCAGGGGGGATGCCTCTCATAAGTGCACTGGCTAGGACCGTCAGCATTTTCATGACAAATCATGGCGTGGCAGCGGTTACTCGAGTCGACCTTCTGTATGTCTTTATTCTCTGACGAAGTCCTATTAAGTTTCACATCTGGTCATACTTAATCTGTGATTTAATGTCTCTTCTCGGACATGAGGATATATTTTTTTAAATCGTCATGTCCGAGAAGAGACATCATTAATTTTAAATTAAAACCAACTGAGTTGAAACGTTTTAAATACTATTTAAAACAAAATAGAAACAAGAAAAAGATAAATTTTAAAAATAAAAATACATTAAATGTAAATTGAATGCAAATAAATTTTAAAATGAAACGAAAATGTTGATGTCTCTCCTAGGACACCATAGAGCAGTTTTCCCAACGTGTGGGGTGAAAATACATACAAGTAGCCGAGCTAGCTGCCTCAATGGGTTAATTAAGCATACTGGGTTTTTTTTAAAACAAATCTGTCAAAAATAGCAAATATACATAACATTTACTGATACAGTATGCCATTATGAGTAAATGACATCACATGGTTTCAACGAAAATGAAATATCTCAAGAACAAACCATGGGAACCAATTTTTTCAAAAGAAGTTACTTAAGTTTACAGTTTTTAGAGTTCTTTCATTTGAGACAATAAAAATTTTCATGACAGTGCCACTTTAAGTAAGGCCCGTTTTATACGTCGAATTTCGGTCGCGTCGAATGCAATTCAAACAATAGATGAGATGATAAACCTCATTAAGCTTCATTATCATTACTCAAGTTTAAGATATATTACCTAGTAATATCATAAACCATCAAGGCCCCAGCAGCTCCTCTATAATAACTTCTTGTTACAGCCCTACATAATAAACAAAATATTATATGTATAGGTAATAGTATGGTTTTGAGTGGCATGGACTTTTCCCCTTATAACTAAAATTTCGATCTAGACAAAAATTTCATCACAGCTTGAAAGAGCATCACAAAATTAGTAATATTCCAAAGTTTTGTTGCAAAATCTTGTAAAATGCGGATAATATAGCCTTGCGAAGTTTGCCGTTTTTCAGTCATTTTGTATTACAAACGGGAAATTGACATCCGATTCGGGTGTTGGGCTGCAATTTCCGTTTGTAATGCAAAATGACTGAAAATTGCAAACTTCGCAAGGCTCTATTTTCCTCATTTTACAACATTTCGCAACGAAACTTTGGAATATTACTCATTTTGTGATGCTCTTTCAAGCTGTGATGAAATATTTGTCTAGACTTGCCTAGATCAAAATTTTGGTTATAAGGGGAAAGATTTATTTGGGAAACACATGCATGAACGAGTTTTACAAAGACTATCAAAATTGCACGAGTCCAAAGGGCGAGTGCAATTTGAAGTCTTTGAAAAACTCGCGAGTGTATGTTTTTTCAAATTGCACGAGAAACCATACTATTACTTATTATTATTATATAAAGTATAGTGCTTTATAGAGATTTCGAGCACTGATAAAAGTAACAATCTCACATGTGAGATTATTCATGATAATCTCACATGTGAAAATTATCGCTTTTCAATTATCGCTTTTCTGTAAAAATTATCGTTTTTCAAAGACTGTCCTTTATCATGTTCAACACTCGAAATAAATCTGGTATTTCCGCGCACCCATGTATTATTCTCTATATAATTTTCATGAAAAAATATGCAATCATGTGTGTAAGTCACATTTAGAAATTAGGAATATTAAAATAAAATATTAAGAAAATCTTTAAAAATTTGCACTGTATTTCATTTTTTTGCACTGTATTTCATTTTCTGGCAATGTATTTCAAAACATTGCACTGCTCTTACGGGCTGATTACATGGACCTGGCCAGCCCGGTTAACCAGGCTGAAAAATGTCACGAAAATCTTCCCTGGGCCGCAAAATTAGTTTTCAATCAGGTTTAGGATGATTTTGCATCTATGCTAAACCAATTATTTATCGCAAATTTATTTTACACAAGTTTTAAAACCACAGTAAGGTCCTAAACAAACGAGTCAGTCCGGTTAACTGGGCCAGCCCGGCACCATGTAATCAGCCCCTTAGCCAATCAGAAATGAGAAATGTTTCATGTATATTGTAGCATTCAAACTCTATTCTCAAACACAGCTGGGAGCCACCACACTGCAGCCATTTATATTTATCCTTTTATTTTGGTACCTGAACCATGGACAGATCTTCAGATTCAGCTCTGGGGGGTGCCGAAAATTAAAAGGGGAAGGTGAGCAAGGGGTTGTATCGCCCCCAAGCAAACTGTGCAGCAGGGGTCTGGGGGCACATTTGCTTTTGGTCTTATTTAGTTCAAAATCTTTATTCTAATCGCAGTACTGTAATTTAATCCAATGAGCATTTAACTTTTTTGGGGGGGGATGCTAATTTCTCCAGGTGGAATGGGAAAACGTTCCAAGGTGGTTCAAAATATTTTTGAGAGAGGGGGTAGTGCCATGCAGTGTGCTTATGAGAGGCACTCACACTTTGCAACGTCTGCCATTGTGAATATTTTCAGGGGGGTGGTGATAAATGTCTGTAATCTTAACCCATTGTTTGTGATCTTACCTAAACCTCTCCTGACCAGCTGTGTCCCATATCTGTAGTTTTATTTTTTGACCAGCAACTTCGATAATTCTTGTCCCAAATTCCACACCAATTGTGTGAGGACAGTCAGCCATAACTAATACAACATAAACAAAGGCAGACAGTCACCCTTTGAGTGATGTTATTTTATGTTACGATAGCTTGGGTGTAAAAAAATACCTGTGGTTCCGGTTCCTGACAGCCCCTATTTTTTCTGCCCACCCTATTATTTTTTCAACGCGATTGACTGTGCGACCCTATTTTCTATGGGTGGTTGCAGGCTGCTGCCAAAATGGCATCTGTTGTCACACTAATTATTGAAAAAACCATGAAAAAAATATTCAAAAAAACCCTATGTTTTTCTGCCGACCCTATTGTTTTTTCAATGCGATTGACTGTGCGACCCTATTTTCTCCAGGTGGTTGCGGGCTGCTCATACAGCCTGCCAAAATAGTGTCTGTTGTCACACTAATTAAAATTGCCTAAATTAATCCATAGGGAATACGCATTTCTAGTTAATATTGATGTCGGGACTCTACTGCAAAAATATGAAAAAAATAAGAAAAAAAATTATTTCCAACCTACCAACCCTAATTTTTTCACGATATCAAACTGGAACCATAGGTATTTTTTTTATGCCTTGGCTCACATAGCTACATCATATATTACAAAAACTTCATGTTGCTTGGAAAAAGAGTGTCATGTTTTCACGTTAAAACATTCAGGAATGTGACTACATTCTTAACGTCTTGAAATTGACATCTTGGGAATGACAATATTTGATTGGTCCATGAGAAATTACGCTGAGATTGCTAATAATAGTTTGACATTTCAGCAGAAAAATGCATATGAATGTAGATGCATTCCTGATTGTTTATACACTAAAACATGGCACGTTTTTCAGGCAAGAGGAACTTGTCCTGGTTTTGGTAACAACATTGCAAAATGCAGTTTTCGACAAGTTGAGATATGTGCAGGTAAAGACAATGTGTATATTAGTGTTAAAATAGCTTTAAGCAAGATTGCCCGATTTCATGCACTGCTTTGTGTAATACTTCAACACGAGTTTAAATTACAGTCAATTTCACAAAACTTTGATCACAAATGTTCCGAACTTTGTTGCAAATTTCGGAAGTTCATATTGGAATCCACAAGCCAATCTGTAAACAAAGTCCCTGATTGGTCCCTGAAGTAGTAGAAGCCAATCAAATGTGTAGTTTACAAACTGGTTTGTGAATCTCATTATGAACTTTTGAACTTCGCAACAAACTTGCAAACTTCGCAAAGAAGTTCGGAATATTTGTGGTCAAAGTTTCATGAAATCGACTGTAAACATCAACTGTTTGCAAACAAGAATTGAACAATAAAATAGCATAACTCTACATGTGATTGTGTGTACAAGGGGGAAAACATAAAGTAAGGCATAACAGGGAACACTCTAAATAAACAGAAGAAAGATTAGAGACACATAATAAAGTAAATTTCTTATACATTTCTTCTCTGTAAATTGGTGAAGTAGACAAGATTTTCCAACACCCATATCACCTGAAATGATAGTAAGAGAAGGCTAAGGAGTGGTACACAAATAGATTTCATCCTGTTATTGCAAATTTGTTCTCGCCCCTCCCCCAGTGCACCAATTAGTTATGGCCACAACCCCGATTTTTCAGAGTTCCGGTTCCATCCGAAACTAATAAAAAAAGCATGGCCGGAACTCTGTTATTTTCAGAGAGATATAAAAATGAGAATATAAAAATGTTTTTGTGTCTAACAAAAGTTCACAGTAGGAAGAAATTTGGACTACACAAAGAAAATATACACCATCGACACTTCATTATGACATTTAACGTTTGTCAACCTTTTTATTCTAACATTTGCGAGCTCTCTCCTTGATGACGTGAAGTGTCTGCCTGTCTGGCAGCAGACAATGTAACATATGACTATATATATGGCTTAATAAATCAGGTCCGGTTCCTGCCGGAACTTAAAAAAATGGTTCCGGTGCACCCCTACCCCCCTCACATTTTATTACAGACATATCAATCAAATTGACATTTCCCCTTGGACATTTTGATTGGCTACTAAGGGCCTGTTCATATGGGCAAAAGTTATCCCGGTTAACGAGAAAACTTTTCGACTAGCCAAATACTTTTGTTCTGTTCATATGGAAAAACTTTATCCCACTTACTGGGTAAAGTTTTCGGCTGTGACATGGCACTGAACATCAATTGAATTGAAAAGTTGCTGACACGACAGAAAGTTATCCCGCTAAGCGGGAAAGTTGTGTTCATATGGGAAAAACATAATTTATCCCGGTCACCGAGATCTCGCCTGTCAACAAGCAATCTTGATCTCGGTACACAGGAAAACTTTTTGTCTCATATGAACGCAGTGTAACTTTTCATATTATTTTCATACCAAGGCGAGATCTCGCTTGTAAACTTGTTGAAAAGTTTTCTCGCTAACCGGGATAACTTTTGCCCATATGAACAGGCCCTAAGTATAATAAACTCTCTTGGAAGGCAGGATGGCAGTGAGAGCGGGATGGCAAAATAGAGCCAGAGGGCGGGATGGCAAGAGCCGGATACTCAGGCTAATGCATCATTAAAAGCATGTCATCAGTAATTATTGACATGCATGCCATCATAGAGCTAAAATACTTGCGTTTATGATAGAATGTATTAATGTAAAGGGAATTTTACATTTCACCATACACGTCAACTAATCATGAATCCTTGCACCCACCAAAACATGTGGTAATATGCATAATTCATGCATCAAATATTTTCATTGGTGCATTAAGGTGCAAAGTACACTGGCTTGTAATTAAGTATCCATTCCACATTTTATAGTAAGAACAAGTCCAAGACTGTGGAATGGAACCTAGATGTCAACATTCCCTAATCAGAGAATGTTGTTGTCATTTTAACACAGATTTGCTCAACCTTTAAACAATTAAGTATGCAATTTAATATATTAAAACCTCTTAATATTGTACTTATGTAATGTACATCCATCAATAACACCATTTTAAAACCTCTACAGGAAAACTATATTTGGCAACAAGAAGGCTATACTCACCAATTATAATATATTTGAAAATATATGAATAATTGTAAGGCCCAGTGGCTGCCATCTTGATGTCTAAAATAAAATGATAAATTTCAAAGGACAATCGAATTGACAGCCGAAACATGATATTTATGAATTTCATTCAAAACGTATCAAAATACACATTTGCTACGATTTCCCAAAATTACTTTGGTTCATTCCGACGAATTTACACGCAATTGAACCATACGGTTAAACAAACGCCGGAATTCGAACAAAATAATTCATCTGCGCAGAATTATGGCATAAATTCCACATATTTTCACGACAATACGACTTTATATATGAGCTAAAGTCAGCCGACTATTTCGACTTATAAATAGCAGAACAAGCGCAAACAAGCGTATTTAATAGCATAATTGTTAGGAGAAAAACACTGCAAAGCTTACCTATTCGTTAAACAAGTCGGGTTTTGATCCTTTCAAAATAAAAACAAAAAAATACGAGCAAAGATTTGCAAATTTCAAAATTGAGAAGACAGCTTCTCGGCGCGACTGGCCTTATGGGATATCCTTGAGCCCACGGTAGTCACATTTGTGGGTCAGTGGTTATACAAAAATAATCATATGCTGACATCATAATTCATAATAAATTCTACCCAGTTTTACAGTGATACTGGTATTTGACCATCACACAACAGACGTCTTGTCAATATGTCAAAAAGTGACCGCATGAAATAATGAAATAAACAATGGACATTTCGATCATTGAACCGTAAAGAGCCCATGGGAACGAGGCTCATGAATACCGACCGGCCGGATTACACTATCAAAGTTTCTGTGATCACAGTAGGAATTTTACATGGGTAAATTCTAAGTTTTGAAGGATTTGTAAGAAATGTTTGACACTGAGTCAGTTCCCTCAAACATCTCTTACGTATACAGATTCTTCGAAACTTAGTATTTACTATGCAAAATTCCTACTGTGATCACAGAAATCCCTACTGGGATCACAGAAATCCCTACTGGGATCACAGAGATCCCTACTGGGATCACAGAGATCCCTACTGGGATCACAGAAATCCCTACTGGGATCACAGAAATCCCTACTGGGATCACAGAAACTTTGATAATGTAAACAAGACTTATCTCTATTTACAATCTTCTTATACTTTGTAATATGTTAGCTGACTTCCTATAGCACGTATGAATAATCAGGGACGCCGGAACGATAAAAAGGCAAAGGGGGGCAGACGCACACCAAAGGACACCCCCCCGTCGCCAAAAAAAATTCGTTCAGTGTACCATTTTAGGGGTCAAAAATTTTTTCCGGACATACCAAAATTTTTCGTGACGTAAAAAAATTTTTCCGGACATCAGCAATTTTCTCCATTTATCCGAAATTTTTTTCTAAAATCCAAAAATTTTCTAAAAATTTTGTAAATTAACCTCATTCTTTTCTAAATTCACACTCATTTTTTGTAAATTAACTTTCTCTGGGCCTATAAATTACCTGATTACCTCCTATAAATTATGTGATTTATCAGGTAGTATTTTACAACTAAAAGGGCACTTCTGCCCCCCTTGCCCCCCCCTAACAAAAGGCAAGAGGGGCAGCTGCCCCCCCCCCCTGCCGCCCAGTTCCGGCGTCCCTGTGAATAATTTTATTTGTCAGTTCATCTGTTCGTTTTGTTTAACTCGTGCAGAGATACGTCGTCAGTTCCACCATAACTTCTCTTCGTCTCTGGGGATTCTGGTATCCGCTCTGGCTCACGTCTTCTGCCCACAGCCCAGTTTATGGATAGCACAGGGAGTTTCATAAGGTTTTCCGTAGCGTTGAAGATTTTTGAAAATGTCTGTCCAATGGGACAAAATTTGTTTACTACAAGTGCAAGGAAAAGAGTGAAGATTAATCCCATGGTGTCCCCGGTCAAACGAAAATAAGAGACGCGGTTGATCGCTAACTTTAATCGATTCTAACGCCCTCTCATCAACTTTGAACTTGTTCAAATTTTGATGAGAGTTGATGATTAACCGGTAATACAGTGCTACGACAAGTCCAGTCAACTCTCGTGCAACTCTTGTTGAGAAAACTCTCATATAAACTGTATCGCTTCTCAACTCTCATGAACTCTCACGCAACTCTTGTTCTCGCGTTTGACCGGGGCATGAGAGTTGAGAAAACTCTCATGCAAACTCTCCCGTCTCAACTCTCATCAACTCTCATGCAACTCTTGTTTTCGTTTGAGAGAGGCATAAGAGTTGAGAAAACTCTCATGTAAACTCTCACTTCTCAACTCTCATATAGCCAACACATGCATGCAAAATATGTCTTTCATTCTGCGGATTCCCACAATTTGTGCTTGTTTTATTATAATTCAATCTCAGTCAATGGTTAGAAGAGTTCTTCCAGTATCTTTACAAAACACAGCCGGGTTTCTCTTCAATCTCCCGGTCAAACCACAGACACAGTCAAACGAGGATGAGAGTTGGCAAGCGAGAGTTGGAATGAACGTTTTCTCGCTATAAGGAGAACATTTTAAAACTGATAGAGCTATCCAGTATAAATAAAGTTAGTTTGGTATTTCCTCCTGTGATAACACTTGATGACTAAAAGCTGTTCCTCTTTACTTATAGGGAAGAACAGTTTAGAATTAATAGACTTATCATATACAGTATAAAGTTTAGTAAAAAACAAATTCAGAAAAGACAAGACATCTTGAGATTGACAATATATGATCCAAAAAAAGACGCAGGTTGAGACTGTAAATTCTCGACTTCATTTCAAAGTCATCTTCAGACAGAATGAGATACAATACTTTACAACAGAGAGAGAGAGCATCTGTCATGTGGGAATTTGTTTTTTACTTTACTTTTTTAAATTGTCGGCTGGTCATGGTTCTTGGTATAAAGTTTAGTGCACTTTAGTTTTTCAATATATAAAGGGTTTACTTACTTGGCCAAAGCACCAGCCAGGCAATACATCCCAAAAGAGATAGAACTAATATAAGCGGCATAAAGATACTAATGAACAGCCATCTTTGACAAGCACAACCAGATTGCGTTTCGTCCTCATCATCATCATCGCCATTGTCTTGAAGTAATTTTTTGTCGCTTTCACCATCTCAAAATTGGAAAAAAAGAATAAAATTTAAAATTTCATTGCTCCGATTTGTACCTGATATGTACGATGCATAAATCTTAAATCTATAGGTTTAATAAATTAATCTTTATATTCATTAATAAATTATCTTTCTATACGACTGACAGGTTTTTTAAGAGCGCTGTAGACACATGGCTGCACTTTCATATGCAAAAATAAAGATAAACCATAAGAGCTCTTGACAACAGATAAAACGAACTTCTCTGAAACTAAACTTGAACTAAACTGTACAGCTCTACCAGTACCCTAAACTGTTCCCCACAGAGGATCAGTAAGGCTCATCCTTTGAACTCTTTGACCTTTATTGGCCAAGTGCATGTTAATACAGGAGGAAGCCTGTAAATTTATATTAAATTACCTTTATTTACACTGGCTAACTCTAAATACAGTATAGCTTTAGTACATAGAGCGGTACAGGACCAATCTAATATTGGTCCAGTCGAAAACCAGAGTATCAAATTAGAAGCACTATATTCTCACATGAAATCGAAGCAAAATTACAATCGAACAACTGTCAACAGGAAGTGAAATTTGAAAGACAAGTATACACGGAACCACTTTGCCACTAAAGACTAGCAATTTTGTCGGCGATTTTATATTTCTGACGGATGCGAATAAGTGAACTCGCACACAAAAATACAGAGTCGCTTTTCAGAAGTAAACAATTCTAAGTCTTTTGCAAGTCATTCACTCAATCACATTTGCCAGGAAGAGAAAAATCGCCGACACTGCGACAGAATTGCTATAAGTGTGAATCAGGCTAAGACCCAGTAATATTTGAAGACACATCTCACCACAAAACGTTTCATCCATTTCTACTCCGATTTCAGATGTCTCGAAATTATTAAATCGAAAATAATCCCCTGTTCCATCGACACGTTCAACAGGTGGTCCGGTATCTAGCATGCTTTTATAACTAGGAACCTCTACATCAACTTTTGTAGCTGGCGAGAAGGGTTCTTGGTAGGTGTATTCGGCATGTAATTTTATTACCGCTTCTTGGAACAGTCTCGCCTGGCCTATAGGAAGGCCAAGGTTGGCGATATCTTTACTCCGTAAAGCCAAAACTGCAGGCAATGAATCTACCTGATGTACTCCAATTAAAGTCTCGATAGATTTCGGTTTTAAGAGCGAGTCGTTCGCCCAAGCGCGGAAAACCTCTTGGGAACTAAATGAACCGAGGCGAGTTAATTTTTTCTTCTTTACCAAGCCTCGTTCATCACGTTCTGGAGACGCAGCCATACTTGAGAAACTTTCAGCAAAGAAATCTTAGATTTGTTTTATAATGTGTGGTTTTATCGGTGAAAGCTCCGTTCGATTAACAATGCAGTCAATGCTGAATGCAAATGCTAATTTCTTTGTGATGGATTTATTATACATAGAAAAAAATGCTGCACCTGTCAACCGTATTGATTATAAAATATATGCTAAATTGAAAATACACATGTCAACTTTGATCCAAACACTGATAAAATTCACAATACACGCTGAAAAAGTGCGTCGTTCCAAAAAGGTAGCTGTTACTAATGCTATACAGTATATAGACTAATGTGTGACGCCCCGGTATAACTTATCTAGGATTTCGGACGATGTTGAACCCCCCCTCCCCCCCCCAGGTTCACACAAGTGCAAAAAATCCCCGAGTGTTTTGAGTAAAAAACATGAGCAAAATTTACTGAATTTTTGTGTAAAGTTTTAAATTTACTCAATATTTCTGAGTAAAGATTTACTTTACTAAAAAAAACGAGAAAATCTGCTCTTAAATTTAGAGTAATTCAGTATCTCAATAATTTGAATCATTGTGGGTGCGAGTCAAAATAGTGTATACGCTTTGTTGAATTGTTGGAAGTAATTTACAAGTATTTAGATATGATAAGCTTTATGCCTTTAATACAGCATGCTGGGATTTGTTGGGTCGTTTCAATTAAGGTCCTATACTTATATGATAGGTGATGAACATTACTGACTGACGAAAAATATATACAGTAAAGTCATTATTTTGTGTTCAATGTACGACTTTTTTAATGTGTTTATTACAAACAACGTTTCAGAGATTTACTCCATCTCCAGGTAGATAAGATTACAATTTATACACTATAAATTAGTGAATTTATACATTATTTATTATTAATTTAGTCACTATTACATTAAACATCTAGATAGAGGTTTTCATTATTTAAGAGGACTCGAGTATAACTAATTCTATTAACTACGGGCGCTTCCATTAATACGGCCAGATCGGTCAAAACGGTCAAATTGTTGAATGAAACACAAAACATTTGGGCTTCGGACCTATCTGACCGGAAAATTTAGATAACATTTGAATGAGGTCCATTTTCGCTAGATATTTGAGAAACATAGACCAGATCTTCCCATTGATACAGAGAAAACAATTTGGGTCTGACCGCGGTCAGGCCATTAAATGGAAAGCGCCCTACGTTTAACCCATTGAGCTCTCCCCTTGACGAGTAAAATCGTCTGGCATTAGACAGAGTAAAATAATAAAGTAGCTATAGGACGCATTGGGGCGCAATGCAACTTACATTATTTATTCTGTTTCAAAATATACTATAAGTTAAAATATTTCTCACTAACCTCGGGTTTCACTTGACATAAAATTTTCACTTGCATCATCTTTGAAACTACAGTCAAAGTTGAAAATATTAGTAGCGGACACTAGGGGGCAAACCGGGGTACCCCTCGCCCCCCCCCCCCCCTCAACACAGATTTTGGGTTTATAAAAAATACAATCATATTTTAAGATATTTTAAAAATTGTTATAAACGTAAAATTGTTGGTTACATTCAACTATTCCTTAGAATTCAACTATTCCTTATATATATAGAAACAGTAAAAATACAATATAATATACAATTTGTGCTATTCCCACGACAGAAAGAACAGTTTTCATTATCTAATGTTATAATTATGTCTAATAAGTGGTTCCAAATTCAATGTTATATTTAATATATTCTCTTGCCCGCAAAAAGTTGATTTGTCCAAAAAGAAGGGGCGGAGTGCAAAACAATGAAGTCTCTCTGTTCATAAACAACTCCAAATCGTATCAGAACCAATCAGAATCAAGATATATGATGAAGCACACAGATTTCTGAGCTCTGATTGGCTGTTGTTGCTCTGACGTCATATGAAGCTAAAAATCCCCCCGATGTGATTGGCTGTCCTTGCCATGACGTCATAAATTCATAAGTAGGTCGTAGGGCGACCAGGAGATGTTTTTGGTGGTGTCTTCTGTGGTGGTGTGGTCCCCGTGTGTGGTGGTGGTGTCTTCTGTGGTGGTGTGGTCTTCGTGTTAGCTAAAACAGCGGATTCAAATGGCTCTCTAAAATGAAATATTATATGACTGTGAGGATAAACAATGAAAGCATTTGCATTTTCAGGATAACTTCTTGAAAGGTTAGGAAATGGCTATTTGTCAATACCTTAATTATAGAGTTTTAAAATTGGAAACGACGTTTTAGCTAACACAAAGCCTCTGTGTTGTGTTTAGTTTAGTACCCGAAGTACAGTGAAGTATAATACATTTACCCACCCTCCCTATTAGTGAAGTATAATACATTTACCCACCCTCCCTATTAGTGAAGTATAATATATTTACCCACCCTCCCTATTAGTGAAGTATAATACATTTACCCACCCTCCCTATTAGTGAAGTATAATACATTTACCCACCCTCCCTATTAGTGAAGTATAATACATTTACCCACCCTCCCTATTAGTGAAGTATAATACATTTACCCACCCTCCCTATTAGTGAAGTATAATACATTTACCCACCCTCCCTATTAGTGAAGTATAATACATTTACCCACCCTCCCTATTAGTGAAGTATAATACATTTACCCACCCTCCCTATTAGTGAAGTATAATACATTTACCCACCCTCCCTATTAGTGAAGTATAATACATTTACCCACCCTCCCTATTAGTGAAGTATAATACATTTACCCACCCTCCCTATTAGTGAAGTATAATACATTTACCCACCCTCCCTATTAGTGAAGTATAATACATTTACCCACCCTCCCTATTAGTGAAGTATAATACATTTACCCACCCTCCCTATTAGTGAAGTATAATACATTTACCCACCCTCCCTATTAGTGAAGTATAATACATTTACCCACCCTCCCTATTAGTGAAGTATAATACATTTACCCACCCTCCCTATTAGTGAAGTATAATACATTTACCCACCCTCCCTATTAGTGAAGTATAATATATTTACCCACCCTCCCTATTAGTGAAGTGTAATACATTTACCCACCCTCCCTATTAGTGAAGTATAATACATTTACCCACCCTCCCTATTAGTGAAGTATAATACATTTACCCACCCTCCCTATTAGTGAAGTATAATATATTTACCCACCCTCCCTATTAGTGAAGTATAATACATTTACCCACCCTCCCTATTAGTGAAGTATAATACATTTACCCACCCTCCCTATTAGTGAAGTATAATACATTTACCCACCCTCCCTATTAGTGAAGTATAAT